AATTACTTTCGTCATTTGGTTCGGAACAAAGATATCCTGAGATTATAATTATGGGGAGAATTGTAATGCAACATCCTATATGGGATAGATAGTACCGAGATTTTGATATAAAAAGTGTACCGATTATATATATATATATATATATATATATATGGTTCGGAACAAAGATATCCCGAGATTATAATTATGGGAAGAATTATAATGCAACAACCTATATGGGATAGATAGTACCGAGATTTTGGTATAAAAAGTGTACCGATTTTAGCTACTACCAATAATCAAATAGGGGGGAAATATAATCTCAAATTTTGTAGGTCTCATGGGGGGTGATTCATTGGAATTTGAGATTCAAGAGGAACCTACAAGATTGGGAGATAGAAGAATATTACAATTTTGTTGAGTTATTATATGAGCCGGGTACACCGAACAATATATCGGATGTATAGGCGAGAGAGTAAAGATGGATTATTCAATGTCAGATCTAATTATAAGACATTATTAGGGAGAGAGGAACGTGTTTTCCCTTATTACTTTATTTAGATTCCTACAGTATCGAGAAAGGTGTGTTTCTTTGCGTGGTTGGCGGCAAGGGGAGTGATTTTGATAGTGAAAAATCTGAAAAAGAGGAGGATCATATATGTTAGTTAGTGTTTCATGTGCAAAAGCTCGGACGAAGATGTAGATCATATCCTATTGCATTGTCAAGTGGCCAACAGTTTGTGGAAGGTGGCTCTAAATTTGCTTGGGGTGCAATAGGTGATGCCGAGAATGGTGAATGAGGCATTGCATAGTTGGGTTCTTATGGGAAAAGAAAAGTTCAAGGGTATGGAAGGTTGCCCCTTTAGCAATCATGTACATTATTTGGAACGAGAGAAATAGGAGGAGTGGAGCTAGATTTTTTAGAATTGCGCGGTAGTCTTTTATTTCTAGTTTTTGTTGTTGTTGTTGTTGTTGTATGTGTGTACTAGAAGATTGAGCCTCTTTTATCAAGAACCAAATTTTGGTGTAGGTTCTCTTCTTTTTTTTTTGGTTTACGATTTGTATACATGATTTCTCGATAATTGTTAATAACATTTTTTTACTTTATTAAAACAAAAAAGAGTTTCACCTTTTGAAAGCCTCTCCTCTAAAAATAAAAAAATCAGAACCACCAGGAAAATTCTATCAAATCCAAAAAATTGCAACAGATACCAGAGAGACCAAAAATACTAAAAGATGCACCTTAGAAAACTACACCAGACACTAAAAGACTCAAAATAGCAAACTCTAGAAGTGAGTTCGCATTAAATATTTTTTATTTTATTTTATAATTTCAATCAAAATTTAACAAGACTAAGATATTTCAATTTTGACAAACTTAAAGGAACAAAACTAGGGTACATCTGAGGGGTTATTTTATACCCACCTCAAATTTAAGGGACATAATATTAGACCAAACTCCAAAGGGATGTAGATTTGATTTTTGGATACAGAGGGCCATGATACGACATTTAACAAAGGAGAAGGGCCAAATATATTCCTCTACTTTAGTATATTGTCTATATTTAAACTCCGTTATACTATCTGGCCAAATTTATCCTTATCATTACTGATCAAATTTTCCCCTACCATTAGCAACTTTTAAAAATTACCCCTCAATCCGTCAGGTGACCCAGAATCTCTCAAGTCATTTTAATTAACAGTAGGGGTAAATTTGGTCGATAGTATAATGATAGAGTTAAATATGGCCGAATAGTATAACAGAAGTTAAATATAGAGAACATGTAAAGTAGAGGCCGTTTAACAAGCATAGTGTCCCTAAATTATAATTTATTATTCCTTCTTATTTTTTGCGCATTAAAACTTAGAAATTTGTTGAAATGACTTCCAAAAGCAAATCAAAAGCCACAATCGAAACGACTATGCAAATCTGTTCAGTCTTGCGATAGAGGTATTCATTTGGCTGTGTACTTGTGTTACCCGGCAGGACTGTTGTAGTAAACATTGCTGCTTCCCCAAGGTAAGAAATTCTTTATTATGCAAGTATACACTTGAGATCGATGTTGTCTCCCAACTGTTTGTTAAAATGTCTGTGTTAAATTTGCGGCAGAAACACTCCTTTTTTTATGCATCCAATTCAGAATTTATCTCTCAGGTGAGATTTATTTCAGGGCAAGTGACAGCAGCCTTTACTTAGGTTCTAATAAGGATGTTGGTGTTTGACTTGACGTTAGTTCAGAATTTAGAGTCAGAGACTTTCAGAATGAGTGTGTATTTATTTATACACACATATATACGCATTGTTGATGTGTATTTGAGATCCTTATTGTCGCCCAACTGTTTGATAAAATGTCTGTGTTAAATTTACGTCAGAAAGACTCCTTTTTTATGCATCCGATTCAGAATTTCTTTCAGGTGTGATTTATATTAGGGCAAGTGATAGCAGCCTTTACTTGGGCTACTAATAAGGGTGTTGGTGTTAGACTTTACAGTCAATTCAGAATTTAGAGTGAGTGAGGGTCAAAATGAGTATATATTTATATACACATATAGGTTCCGTTTAGCTAGGTAATACTTTATAGTGCTCATGATATGTATTTTTTTGAAGCAAAGTTGGAGGTTGTTCCTACATGAGATAGGATTAGAAGTTGTAATGGTTAATTTGGATTAATCTCCTTGATGGTCACTCAACTTTCACTTTATTGCACCAAAATCACTAAACTGTTTTTTTGTGACGAAAAAGTCACTCAACTTTACCTAAGATTAATGAAAATCACTAAACTATTTTTAAAAGTCACTCAACTTGGTTTAAGGTATCACGGAAGTCATTAGGAGGAAACAAAGGAAACATTTCCTGGGATACTTAGGCAAAAAATGAGGGACTTTTTGGTTACAAAAATTAGTTTAGTGATTTTTGTGGTACTCAGGTAAAGTTGAGTGACTTGCTTGTTACAAAAAGTAATGTAGTGACTTTGGTGCAATAAAATAAAAGTTGAGTGACCATTCGCGAAATTACCCATGGTCAATATGTTTCGTCTAAAGTTTTTTTTTTTTTTAAATTTATTTCAGGATTGCAAGATCCTCAGTGCAAAACATTGCAGACTCTTTCAGTTGTTCAGTACTGTAATGGTAGGTGGAAACTTACTACTTTGAGGAATGAGAATAGGAAAAGGAATTCCAAAGGTGTATTTTGTATGATAGAAATTGGTTAACTTATATTATGGAACACCTTTTCTCAAAGAAAAATATTTTCCACTAAAAGGGGAAGAAAAGATTTTCTTATTTATGGGGGAAGTCATTTTTCCTTATCAATATCAAACTCCAACCCTATACCACTCACATCTGTTAACACTTATAGACATTATTATCAAACTCTTAGTGCTCTGTAATATCGTCAGAACATGATTTTTATATTTATCCTACAATTTGTATGATTACATGTCTTAAATACTTCTCATATCCGGCCGAGCACTTGAAAATGAATTTTAAGAAACACGATCTTATAAGGTAAAACATTTTCGAGGACAATTATTTTAAACATTTTCCTACACGCCGACACACCTTTGGTTGGGTAGTTAGTTTTGATATTTCAATAAGGGAAATGAACTAGTCTGACATATCAGAGATTCAGAATGCATAGTTGATCATCTGGCATATCACTGATATTTCAATAAGAGGTTTAGTATACTTATTCTTTAAAGAGATTTTACAAGTTCTAATACTCCTTTTTGTGGGAGCGTTGGCGTAACTGGTAAAGTTGTTGCCATGTGACCATCACGGGTTCGAGCTGAGGAAACAGCCTCTTGCAGAAATGCAGGGTAAGGCTGCTTACAATAGACCCTTGTGGTCCGGCCCTTCCCTGGAACCCGCGCATAGCGGGAGCTTAGTGCACCGGGCTGCCCTTTTTAATACTCCTTCCTGTAATTTTTATTTCTTTTGTTTTTCCAGTTAACAACAGATTGGTCAAAGTTGCCGGTGGATCTTTTGGGTTTAATTGCTAGTCGTCTGCATTTTGCCGAAGACTGGGTGCAGTTTGGTGGGGTCTGTAAGTCATGGAGAACTGGTATTCTACAAAATGGCAATTCTTCGTGCTCTTTCCTTCCTTGGCTGATGCTTCCTCAGAGGACACATGAAAGCTCGCGCACGTTCTATAGTCCTTTCAAATGTAAGAGTTATGATATCTGTTTGTCAGGTGTTCTAGATAAACGCTGTTGGGGTTCTTCTCATGGTTGGTTGGTCACTCTAGGTGCCAATTTTGATATGCACTTGCTAAATCCACTATCAGGGGTCCAAATTTCACTTCCACCACTGAATAGGTGCCCTAATTTGAACACTCTGATATGTACAGGAAAGAGCTTTCGCGACTCGTTTGTTTCCAAAGTTATCTTGTCTTCTAGTCCGTCTTCATCAGATTGTGTAATTTTTGCTATCTATTCTGATAATTGGAAGATGGCATTTGCAAAGCCAGGTGACGTTGCTTGGACTCCCTTGAGTTCCATCCGTGGCCATGTTGATGATGCCATATGTCATGATGGGAAGTTTTACGCTATCGACACTTTTGGCGAAGTTCTGATTTGGGACTTTGCTGGCTCTTTCTTGAAGAAGATAGCTTTCACACCATCTCGCGATATGGATAATTTGGTGTATGTTACTACATATCTTGTCGAGCTAGAAGGTCAAATATATGCCGTAATGAGGCTTTTGTTTGATACAAGAATCACAGATACTCCTTGCCTAAGCACTTGGAGTTTCAAAATTTACAAGTTGGATGTCTTCAATGAGAAGTGGGAAGAAGTGAAATCTTTGGGTGATTGGTCTATTTTTGTAGGAAGCAACCATTCCTTCTCAATTTCTTGCTGTGCTTACCCAGAATGTGAGAGTAATTGCATATACTTCACAGATGACTTCTCTGGAGTTTATTACAATGCAGTACATGGCTATGATATGGGTACTTACAATATTCAGAATGGCGGGGTACAACCTCTTATTCAGGAAAATGTATCTGCCTTTGCATTCTCTCAGCCACTTTGGATAATACCAAGTTTATCTTAAGGATTTCCAGTTGAGTGAGACGGTAATGTACATCATGTATCTGGTTTTCTGTTAAATCTGATTTTTCGTAGCGATACTGCTAGATTAGTTCTTGTCCGGGCCAAAACAATGTGTTTTATTTGCATTTTACATGTGAGCAAATGTTATGCTCTTAAATTGTAAATGCCTTGTAAGTTGAGATTTAACAATGGGCTCATGATAATACAAAATCTTCTCCCATTCGTTACCATATCTTTCGAATTTCACTAGGTTGTACGAAGTTTTACACTGTTGAAAGTGTTGGCGGACACTGGACACATTTTGGTTTGTCATTTCACTGGGTTTTTCGTTGTCGAAGAAAACAGCTTTTATTCATTGCAGATATTGTGCGAGCTAGTTATGTTATAACATACCTAGTTGAGCTATAGCCTGTTTGGCCAAGCTGGACAAATCAACTTATTTTGATAAGTGCTTTTTTCAAAAGTGCTTTTAAAGTATTTTTGGACAGAGGCAGTTTGTGTTTGGCTAATCATTCTGAAAAGCACTTTGAGCAATAATTTGTGTTTGACCAAACTTTTCAAAAAGTGTTTTTAAGTATCAAATTACCAATAAGGACATGAATATATTTACTTAATAGTTAATATTATAAGTAAATAAATAATCTCAAAAATTTGTTATTACATGCAATAATTAAATCTTTTCATTTTATTTAAGTAAAATATGAAAATAAAATTTAAAAGTACTTAATTCTTTTAATATAAGTTAAATATATTAAAAATCATTCAACAAATATAAAAGCATGCACCCCTAAAGTCACTATATATTAGAAAGTTATCCTAAAAATAATAAGAAATATGTATACATTAATATCCTTAAGTATTAGGTTTAACGGTTATTTTGGTATATATTATATTTTGTTAAGGGTATTCTTGGAAAGAAGAAAAGTCGAAACTGCTTCTGCTTCTGCTTTTGGGAAGAAGCTATTTTTTTCCCCAAAAAAGCTTGGCCAAACACCTCAAGTTAGGAAAAAAAAAGTGTTTTGGGGAAAAAAAACACTTCTGGCCTCTTGAGAAGCTTGGCCAAACAGGCTATTAGGGGTTCATGTACACTAATGGCATAAATATAAGACTCTTGGTAGGATCATTTAACTTTTTCTTTAAAGTAGAATGGCATGATCAGTGATTGTAATGGCATATCTTAGTTGTTAGTATTGATGAATTTTAAGTATCAGCCACTGTACAAAAGGAGGATGTTTTAATCCTTTGTTAAAGATTCCTAACAATGTCCAATACAGTACCTTGGCAGTTGGCGAAATTGAAGATAACAACAACAAGAACAACAACAATAACATACTCAGTGTATTTTCATAGTGTAGGGTTTAAGGAGGATAGTGTGTACGTAAACTTTACTCATATCTTATGAAGATAAAGAAATTGTTTCTAATAGATTCTCGACTCAAGAAAAACAATTCTCGAAAAGGAAAAATAGTAGTGAAGAGGTCATGTCGATACTAATGAAAACATGAACGGTAACAAAAGCAAAATAACAGAGCAATAAATTAAAATAATGGAAACAACAGGTACTAATAGAAATTTGAAGAAATTTCTGCTAGAGTCCAGCACTTTTACGAGGCAAAACAATTAATATCTGTTTACTCGACCATTCCATAAAGCAATAGGTCTTCTGTAGTTAGATTGGTCACAAACCATTATTCGAGCTCCAGCCTCTTAAGCAACATATTTTTGGTTAAAATAGTTGATAGGGTAAAAGCTTTCAAAACCCATAAATATAAGTTAATACATGAGTTTAACTTCTAGTACATATTTGTTGTGCAATTTTTATATTATTAGGTATAACTAAAAGTTAATATATTAAATTTTGGTAACTATTACAACGACTAAAATTGAAAGTATTTTAACATGAGAAAGAAATATTTTTTTAATTTTACTACAACAATATATAACGTTCAGTCAATTTCGTGACTTTAAGAGAATACGAATAGACTCATCGTTTCAACTTCCAAAGGTGCTGCTCTGATTGTGTTCCTTCTATGCTACAAAGGCAGCGATCATGAAAATTCCTCCAAAAAAGTCTCACTGTTATGAAAATAATTATATTGTAGATGTCCATTTATTACTCCGCTATAGATAATCTTCCTGAAGAAGATTATTCATTTAGTACTCTGTTGAAGTTTATCTACAAGCAGCTGATACAGGCAGGTTGCAAGCAGCTCAATGAAATGATTTGCAGCAGCTTCTTATTAAACAGGCAGGTTGCAAGTAGCTCATGCAGACAACTTACAAGCAGCTAAAGAAAAGCCTTGCAGCTGCTTCCTGAAAAGCCTCGCAGCTGCTTCTTTTCTTCTATAAATAGAGGAGTTTTCAGTTCATTATGTACATGAATTTGAAGTTGAATAATATATCAATTTCTCTCTATACTTGTCTTTACTTTACAGTCTTTATTTTATAACACGTTATCAGCACGAGACTCTGCCATCTCGAGAAAATACTTTGAAAGTATCAGAGGTACGAACTTTCTTTTTCTAAATAATGTCAAATCTTTCTAAACTTGAGTTTGTAGCCCTGGATATATCGGGCAAAAGCTACATGTCTTGGGTGCTTGATGCCGAAATTCATCTTGATGCGATGGGTCTGGCAGACACCATCAAAGATAAAAATCAGGCATCAAACCAAGACCGTGCCAAAGCAATGATATTCCTACGCCATCACCTTGATGAGGGCCTGAAAATGGAATATCTTACTGTTAAAGAACCAGTCGTACTGTGGAATAATTTGAAAGATAGGTATGACCACCTGAAGATGGTCATTCTTCCACAGGCACGTTATGATTGGACTCATCTAAGGCTACAAGATTTTAAATCTATCAGTGAGTATAATTCTGCTATGTTCAGAATTATTTCCCAATTGAAACTATGTGGTGATAATATTACTGATCATGATATGTTGGAGAAAACTTTCACCACTTTTCATGCCTCGAATATGCTCCTGCAGCAGCAATATCGAGAGATGGGATTTAAAAAGTATTCTGAACTTATCTCACATCTTCTTGTAGCCGAGCAACATAATGGGCTATTAATGAAAAAACATGAAAGCCGATCTACTGGTTCTTGTCCATTCCCAGAAGTGAATGAGACGAACTTTCACCAAGCTAAACGTGGAAAAGGGCGTGGCCTCAGTCGTGGTCATGGCCGTGGTCGGGGAGGAAACTCTAATCGTGGTAATAATAATGCACCAAAGAACCCTCCTCACCACCAGCAGTGGAAAAGGAAGGAACAAAAGCATGAAGCGGTGCAAGCGGCAAAGCCAGAAAATGCATGCTATAGATGTGGAGGTAAAGGGTACGGGTCTCGTATATGCCGTACTCCAAAGCACCTGGTTGAGCTATATCAAGCTTCCCTGAAGAAGACAGATAAAAATGCTGAAGCAAATTTTATTTCTGAAGATAATTTAGACTTCATGCATTTGGATGTAGCTGATTACTTTGCACTCCCAGAAGGAGAAACAATTCATGTGATCGGTAGTGAATCTGTAGAGATGTAAATATTTTAATTTCTGTTATTTGTAGTAGGTAGTATAGTTATGTAATTGTTATACATAAATAAAAGTTATAATGTTTACTATCATATTTATTTTGTTTATGTCATTTTGAAGAATATGGATAATCCTCAAATTATGTTT